GGGGGGGGGTTCGGAAGTAGATACCCTATATCCGTAGTATCACACACGTGCGTTGTATACTAATACAATGCACCCCGTGCGTTCTATTCGTAAATAACGCATGTGCGTTTTGTTCAGGGGAAGACTGTAGCCACCTCTCGCACACTGTCCACTCCCCTCTTGCCAGATGCTGCTGAAGAGTCTGATCACATAGGTGCTCTCCTGAAGTACACCAGCTAAGTATTTGCCGGTCTCCGCAATCTCCTCCACTTCCAATGTCCTTCCCTTCTCCCACTACGCTCTCCTGCCCTGCTTAGCAATGCCAAGCACAGGTGCTAGCAGCTACCACGAGGCTTCTTGTTTCTACCACGAGGCTTCTTGTTTCTCCTGGGCGCCTACCACATGCAGCGCTGCTCCAGAGCTGCCACCTGGTAATCCCGCTACCAAGTGTCTGATATGCCTTTGCCTGTGTCTTGCTCACGGTGAAGTCCCAGGTCTGGGCCTACGAAAATTCAGTCCCTACTGGCCTATGTCATGGTCCAGCCACCTGCCTGCTCTGTACTTCAATGGAGGGGCTATGGGGTAGTTACGTGGGTGGCCTGCGTTGGGGCCCCAATTTGGACGCATTCCGCCACAGTGATCTGGCCGCAGCTCACTCAGAACCTTACTTTCCCACCACTTTCGGTTCCAAAGTCCTTCGAGATACCCTCACTCGTAGTGTAAAACCACTTGGGTTGCAGGCTTAATTAACTCGTCTCCAGAAAACCACCTGTCTTCACTTGGATGCACTTGATATCTGAAGTGAACCCGAAACTGCAGTTGAGGCTTTGGTGGGCTTGCTTTGCCTAGTGGCTTCGGTTTCGGAAGATACCTGTGCTCAACGATCGGTCAATGTCAGTTTGACCGTTCATCAATAAGGGAGCATGGATCAGGCATAAGGAAACTGGATGCTTTTCGAGTTTGGGTGCATGGAAGACTGGGTGATTGGAAACTGGATGCTTTTCGAGTTTGGGTGCATGGAAGACTGGGTGATTGCGAAGGTGAGGGGGAACATCAATCACATCGTCAAGATTATCACATAGTGTCTAAATACAGTCCAAGGTCATATACTAGTGAGGAATCAGTTGATATCAGCATCCCAAGTCGCCCACCTGGAAAGCTGGCATCCTCCCATGCTGATTGGCTCTCTATTGTGGTTCACTTGGATTTCTTAAGCTGGTCTACGTTTTCTTTGCAAAGACTGTTCTTTTTTTTTTTTCCTTTTTTCTAAATGAAGGTTGTGAAGGTGTCGGGGTCAGTCACA